ACCACGTTTTGAAGAGATTTAGTTGGTTTATTTTATTTATATTCATAAACTTTTATATACAATTATTTGTTAGTAAAATAATTATTAATTTTAAAATTCTAATTTTTTTATTTACTCGTTTATTAAAATAGTATTTTAATAATAATTATTATTTAATTTAATAATTGAATCATAGAAAATTTGCTTACGAGTAAAAGACAATTTTGTCGTTAATGGTGAAACTTATGTTACTCTTCTTTCCAATCGGAAGTGTATTATTCTAATTAATTTAATAATTAGTATAATTCTGACCAATATTTTATAGTGCAATTAGGGTTTAAAAATACAATTTTTAAGATTCTGTTTGGTGATGCACAATAATCAAAACCAGGTTGGTACTACTTTTTGAACTTACAAAATTTCAAATTTTTTATTTGGATTTATCATTTAATTTTAGCAAATTGTTATTAACAAGTTAAATTTTATATTTTTATTAAATTAATTATTATAAATCAAGTAATATAACTATTTCGAACGGTAATACAACCTAAATATAAAAATTAGAGTAAGATCGATAGACAACTTTGTTACATTGTCACCGAATCCAAACGATAGAGATTTTTCGGTCACTAATGTTTTATAGTCTTTTATTATGTATCCGAATTTTAACCGATCAATCTCTTATGATAACAATATTTTTTTTTTATTAATTGGATATCGACTTTTGTCATTATTAGTACATATATGTAAAATTTTAAATTTTATGTACTTATTAAAGTTTGAATTCATAAAGTATATTAATGAAATATATATATATATATATATAGATATAGAGAGAGATTTGTTTAGTGATTATTGTATGTAAATCAATAATTGAGAAAAGCAATTTCCATGGTGAAATATTTAGAAAAACTTTACCATACTCATGAATTTCAGGATCCTGTCAACCCCACCACCGTACACACAATCAAATGTGTGATTTTTGCTGGATTGCAGAGCATACATTCAATGATTCTTTCTACTCTATTCAATTTCTCCAGTATGTATATATATATATATATATATATATATGTATGTATGTATGTATGTATGTATGTATCCAATAATTATTATTACTCGTACCCAAAATTTTAAAATTCTGGAACAAACTTCAAACTGCAAAATATTTTTGAAATTTTTTTACTACATAATTTGTTGATTTATATATATATATATATGTATATATAATTACACATATTTGCCTAATTTTTTTCACTATTATTATGTTAATTTTTTTATTTATTAAAAATGAAAAAAAATTATTGGATAATTAATCTTCACATTAGCAGAATTTGAGAAAAGAAAATTAAAAATTAGTGAATTATAATTTATAAAATAATGGGAAATTAATTTTGAGAATTTATGTTTAATTTTCTTTTGTCTGGTTTATTCGACCCAAACGAGGTTTTTTTGGGTTTCGAACCAAACAGATCCAACTTGGTTTGGGCTCAAGCTGTCGTTGTGTATATAACAACCCGGCCCATGTTCTGGGTGGTTCAGCCCAAAGCTATCAAAGCCGTCTGATTGACCCGTTCTATTGGGCCCACTATAATCGCGTGATCTTTATTTTTGGGCCCAGCTAAGTGAATTTCATTTTATTTATTTTTTAATTCTACGGTCCAGATTAATGACACGAAGTCTTTAATCGCAGGTGGATAATTTCGTTTTGTTTTTTACGATTTGTCAAAATACTTTGCAGCTGAAAAACCCTAATTGATATTAAAGAAAACCCTAACTGCAATACCTTCTGTAAAAAATCTCTGCATACCCGCCACACATCCTCTCTCACGAACACTCAGTAAATCACCCTAATCATGGCAGACAGAGGGGCAGCAGGAGGCGATAGGGGAGCGTTCCGTCGGGGCTTCGGCGGAGGTCCCCGCGGAGGCCGTGGTGGCCGTCGCCGAGCGAGGAAGGAAGAGGAAGAGAAGTGGGTTCCTGTCACGAAGCTAGGACGCCTTGTGAGGGAAGGAAAGATTCGTTCATTGGAGCAAATCTATCTCCATTCCCTCCCTATCAAGGAGCACCAGATCATCGACCAACTGGTCGGTCCTTCCTTGAAAGATGAGGTTTATGAAGATCACCCCTGTCCAGAAGCAGACTCGGGCCGGCCAACGTACCAGGTTCAAGGCCTTTGTTGTCGTTGGTGACGGGAACGGGCATGTAGGTTTGGGCGTTAAGTGCTCGAAAGAGGTGGCTACAGCCATCAGAGGCGCTATTATTCTCGCTAAGTTATCTGTCATTCCTGTAAGGAGAGGGTACTGGGGAAACAAGATCGGGAAGCCTCATACAGTGCCGTGTAAGGTTACTGGCAAGTGTGGATCAGTCACGGTCAGGATGGTGCCGGCCCCTAGAGGTGCCGGAATCGTGGCTGCTCGGGTGCCCAAGAAAGTGCTTCAATTTGCCGGGATTGAGGATGTTTTCACCTCATCCAGGGGTTCCACGAAAACTCTCGGTAACTTTGTGAAGGTATAGCTTATTGCATTGTGTATTTTATATATTAATGATTATGACAATTGTTTGGGTGTCATGAATTGATTTGATCATTTTTTGCTTTTGTTATATATGAAAATCGTGCTTGGATATTCGATATGTATATCTGTTGCATCTTCTACGTGTTTTTTGAATTATTTTTGCGTGTAAGAATCATGGGTTTGATTTTTAATTTCATTTTTTGTTAAGTTGATTTTGAAGTTGATTTGTTTTATATTAAGTGTAATGAAGTCAGTGGAAGTTTGTTCCTTGTTTTGGTTATGTAAAATATAGCTCTTTTGGCAGATGAAAATTAAGTGATGCCTTGATGGCTCTTTATGGCTGGTAACTCTATTTTTTTTTTGAGATAAAAGAGAAGTATATTAATAGAAAGGCTCTAAGGGGGAGCCACCCATGTACAAAATGTCTGGTAACTCTATGTGACAAGGAGAGAGTTTATATAAATATATGCACTTTAGTGGATGTAGGGATGGACTATCCTGCTCCTTCCATACCCGGTCTGATAAGGTTTTTCTACGTAAGAATTTGATTCGTGTCGCAGCAGGTATGAGTTGGCGAGAAATGATGATAAGGTCAGGGCGGGTTTGGGTTTGGGTTCGGGTTCAGGTTTTTATATTATAAGTGTGGGTTAGGTTTTTGGTTGTCGAAATCTGCTGCGTTGCCATTCCTAAATGAATGTCTGTTCTACCTATGGAGGATACGCAATTTGGAAAATATCCTAAAAGGGATATTTGATCTGGCATTAAATTGTAAGCAAATTCCAATTTATGAAAATAAGCTGAAGTTTACTTGGAAAGATGCTTCGGAGGTAAATTATGAAGTTGCTTTCTTTGGCATGGTCTTCTTGACTGTAGAAAATTATATGCAAGGGGAATAATTTTTTTGTTAAGCTATGCAGCATAACTAAGAAGGATCTGTGGGGCTGCTGGAATCAATTGCTCTTATTTGTACTTCAACTAGAAATGTTGGTGCTGGTGGGTTTGGTGGCTCATGAACTTAGGTCTTGAAATGGAGGGGCATTTTTTATTTTTTTTTAAAAAACAAAGAATCTGATTGGGTTGTTGCCCTTGTTGATCTAATAGGCTGGAGTGAGAGGAATGGAATGCTTTTGGTGGGATTAGAGGACTTCTTTGTACATAGCCAGATTGTTAGATGTATGCTTGTAGTTTTAGGTGCTGATATTGCTTTTTACAAATCAATTTTCCATTTACCTGATATAGAAGCTTGGGATACTCTACTTAATTGTTGCTTGTTACACGTGCAAATGAAGAGTCTTGTTCCCTGAAGTTGAAATGCTTTGTGTATACAATGCATTTTGCGAAGATGCTCTTAGCTTTCAAAGTTCGGAAGCTCTCAACTTTTATCTTAGGTTATTATGATCCTCCCATTTTGATGAACTGTTTATACTTTTTAATCTTATTTATTGAATTCTACTATCATATAATTCTTGAATAATCTGGATGCAGGCGACTTTTGAGTGTCTTCTGAAGACCTATGGTTTCCTGACACCTGATTTCTGGAGAGAAACCCGCTTCTCCAAGTCTCCCTTCCAGGAGTATACCGATCTTTTAGCTAAGCCTACAAAAGCTATCATTCACGAAGACCTCGAGAGAGTTGAAGCCTGATTGCCCCTCCCCTTGTTTTTTCCCCAGAGAAGGGAGTCATTATGTGGAGCATAGCTTGTTTAGGTTTTTAAGACACTTTCCTTCTATCCTTGTTGTTTCTTGTGTTCGGGATTTTGAGATGAATATGTTTGGCATTACGTGCCGTCTCAAACAATGGTTATGGTTTTTGGTGGTTAAATTTTACATTTTGATTGATCTTTGGTGAATTGCCTGTATCAATCTTAAATTTTCTCAATCTAATCATTTTGGCTGTTTCTTTGTTGAAGAAAATGAGATCCATCTCGGTGGGAAAACATCTAGGAGGGATTGACTAAATGTTTCAAGAACACTTGTAAGAAACTCAAGCACATTCTTATGTGCTTGAATGGAGTGATTACTTTTTATAAAATAAAGTTTCAAATTATTTTAATTTCATATGTAAACTTTATTCTATGTATTTAGAAAATACAAAATAGTAAGTATTACTTTTATATATTAAGCAAAAATTTTATTTTTCTATCACTAATTAGGCTGTAATTTTCTTTTACCCTAAGATTCTTTTAGTATTAAACATTTGATAAAATTTATTATAAGAATTTTAATACTATATGATACATAAATTTTACGTTATTTTTATTAATTTCCAAAAAATATTGATTATTGATTATTAATAATTCCATAATATAAACACATTTTTTTTAACACATAATTAACATATTTTTATTTATTTTTAACAACTTATAAATGTCATAAACCCATAAGTCTAATAGGCTTATAAGCTGAATAAACTCTGCCGTCGGCCCATTAGCTTCGGCCCATTAATACCTGATGATTCTTGTCCAGCTAAGTGACTTCCGATTGCACACATATTTAAGCTGAAAACCCTAGTTCGTGCTGAAGAAAACCCTCGCTGCCGTCTCTTCTACAGAAAAATCTATACTCACCTCGCCCGCGTATCCTGCCTCACGAACACTCGTAACTATGGCAGACAGAGGGGCGGCGGGAGGCGACAGGGGAGGATTCCGTCGCGGCTTTGGCGGAGGCCCCCGCGGAGGCCGTGGTGGTCGTCGCCGCCCGAGGAAGGAAGAGGAAGAGAAGTGGGTACCCGTCACGAAGCTAGGACGCCTCGTAAGGGAAGGTAAGATCCGCTCATTGGAGCAAATCTATCTCCACTCCCTCCCTATCAAGGAGCACCAGATCATCGACCAACTGGTCGGTCCTTCCTTGAAAGATGAGGTTATGAAGATCACCCCGGTCCAGAAGCAGACTCGGGCAGGCCAGCGTACCAGGTTCAAGGCCTTTGTTGTCGTCGGTGACGGGAACGGGCATGTAGGTTTAGGTGTTAAGTGCTCGAAAGAGGTGGCCACGGCCATCAGAGGCGCCATTATTCTCGCTAAGTTATCTGTTATTCCTGTAAGGAGAGGGTACTGGGGAAACAAGATCGGGAAGCCTCATACAGTACCGTGTAAGGTAACTGGCAAGTGTGGATCGGTCACGGTCAGGATGGTGCCGGCCCCTAGAGGTGCTGGAATCGTGGCTGCTCGGGTGCCCAAGAAAGTGCTTCAATTTGCCGGGATTGAGGATGTGTTTACCTCCTCCAGGGGCTCTACTAAAACTCTTGGTAACTTTGTCAAGGTATAGCTCATTGCATCGTTTTTTCTTTTCTTCTTGTTGTTTATGTGAATTATTTACGTTTTATGAATTGGTTCGGTCGCTGTTTGCTTGTGTTAATTACGAAAATTGTTTGTTGATTACAGTGTTTTTTTATTAGATATCTGATATGCACTTCTTTTGTATCTTGGACATGTTTTGTCAAATGTTGTTGCGTGTAAGAATCACGGGTTTGATTTGCGACTTATTTATTCCTCAGCTGATTTTGAAATTGATTATTTTAGTGTTTATATTAAGTGTTAGGTCACTGAAAATATGTTATTTGTTTTGAGTCTCTAAATCTGTGTGTCAAATTTTGTTTTCAAGGGTGTTGCTTCTCTATCAGATGAAAATTAAGGGTGTTTTCTTCTTTTGTTAGCATGGTGATGCCTTGATTACTCTTTATGGCTGGTTACCTATATGCTTATAAAGAGAGAATTTATATACATATATGCACTTTAATGAAGATCTGTTGTACCTATGGAGGGTAGGCAATTCAGAGAATATCCTAAAAGCAATCCATGATCTGGGGTTTTATTGTAAACAAATTCCAATTTGACGAAAATGAGATGAAATCTACTTGGAAAGATGCTTCAGAGGTGAACTATGGAGGTGCTTTATTTGGCATGGTTTTCTTGGCCTTAGAAAATCATATAGAAGGGGAATATTTTTTGTTAAGCTATGCAGCATAGAAGGATCTGCATGCACCGCTGCAATCGATTGCTCTTTTGTGTAATTCACTGGAAATGGTGGTGCTGGCGGGCTTTGTGGCTCATGAACTTCAGTCTTGGAGGAGGATTTTTCTTTGAGAAAAAAAAACAAAAAATCTGAATGGGTTGTTACCGGTGTTGATTTTTCAGCCTGAGTTGAGAAGAGTTGAATGCTTTTGGCGGGTATAGGGAACTATGTATATAGCCAGACCTTTAGATGTATGCTCATAGTTTTACGTGCTCAGAATGCCTTTACAAATCAATTTTTCTTTTACCTGAGAAAAATACTAGGTAGAAACTTGAGATAATATCTTCATTGTTGTTTGCTACACATGCCATACAAGGATATTATTCCCTGAAGTTGAAATGCTATGATTACAATGCATTTTACAAAAATGCTCCTAGCTTGCGAAGTACGGAAGCTCTCTTTTATCTTAGGTTGTTATGATCCACTCATTTTGATAAACTCCTCATACTTCTAAATCTTATTTATTGAATTCAACTATCATATAATGCTTAATTATTTTGAATGCAGGCCACTTTTGAGTGCCTTCTGAAGACCTATGGTTTCTTGACACCTGATTTCTGGAGAGAGACCCGCTTTACCAAGTCTCCCTTCCAGGAGTATACTGATCTGTTAGCCAAGCCTACAAAAGCTATTATTCACGAAGACGTTGAGAGAGTTGAAGCCTGATCTCTTTTTTTCCCAGAGAAGGAAAGTCATTATGCGGAGCATAGCTAGTTTAGGTTATTAAGATACTTGCCTTCCATCTTTTTGTTTCGTTGTTGTCGGAATTTTGAGATGAACTTATTTGCTTATGTGTTGTCTCAAACAATGGTTGTGCTGTTTGGCAATTAAGTTTATACTTTTCAGTGACATTGGTGAATTAGTTCATTTAATTTTAATAGAATTTTGTTAAGGACTTAACAGTGTTTTTGAAATGGATCAAATCTCCAATAATGGATTGTCTCAATCCTTTAATTAGGTTTTGTTTGTTTGGTTTAAGAAAAAGAAAGTCTATAATCGAATTTTGATCTAACCATTATCTATATTTTTGATCAATCTCTGCACTTTTAGTAAAAAATAATTTAGGGTGATTATGTTTATTACCATTGGCATGCCTTAAACTCCAGTGAAAAACCAGATGGTGTATCCCCCATCTGGTAAGTGCAATACTGATTTATCCCCCCCAGCCAATTATAATTATGAATTTATATTTTTTAATGTTGGAATATATATTACAAAAACAATGCTAGAAAAATAGTATTAGCTTCATGTTTCGGTCATTTTACATGTTCTAACCTTTTGGGACTTTCCATTTCATTTTAGCATTGTCGGATTTCAAGAGTCTTGAGTTCCACAACCTCTTAGGAAGATAAAAAGCAACACGTGGCAACAACCCATTTGGATAAGGAAATTTCATTGGATAAGGAAATGGATGATGTCTCTTTGTATCAGCCAAGAAGCAACCGGGCACAATCTGTTCTTCTTTCCACTTTTCTTCTTTTAATTTTTTTTTGATTGCCAGATAAACACAATAAACCTCCGAAAGTGTTTCAGACAGTTTTGAGCAGCAGCAGCAAACCAGAGTTGCAGAAATGGCCTCAGTAACAATGGCAGCCTCTTTCCTACCAAGCTCACCCTCCACCATTGCTAAACTTCCTTCAACCACCGCCAACAGAGGCCTTGTCCTCATCAAGGCTTCAAGTGAAAAAACCAGCTTGGAGTTAAAGAATGAGGTCAAGGAAGAGAGCAGCAGAGGGAGGAGGGATCTGGTGTTTGCCGGGGCAGCAGCTGCAGTATGCTCCATAGCCAAAGTTGCCATGGCTGATGAACCAAAACGAGGAACTCCTGAAGCCAAGAAGAAGTATGCTCCTATTTGTGTCACAATGCCAACTGCTAAAATCTGTCACAAGTGAGGTTATGGTGTTTCTTTGTTTAATAATTTATTGTTCTGATCATGATCATGATCATGTAAAAACATCAACATGAACCTGTACCTTCGTATTGGAGAATCCTCTTTCTTTCACGTCTTCTTGGCTCCCTAGGCTGTTCTCATGTACATTTAAATCCAGAGTTTCTTGCTGGCAAATGCAGGTATAAGTAATGGTTAAGCTTCGAAGTTTTAGCCAAAACGCCAAATTGATTATGCAGTTCTTTATGTGTGGCTGGAATTGGCTTATCCAGTTTTTCATACCAGGAGAAGTGACTAACCCATTACTTACATTATCAAATTGCAAGTTCAGTCTTTCTAGTTCTGCTTGAAGCCTCTATCTTGATTTTGCAAGGTGGAAAGCTACCAGGATCATTTGGTATCATTGAGGGTGTTTGGTTTGGTTTGGTTTACTTTTGAGTCAATCCAGCTTATACATCTAATGATTAGCAAGACAATCAATTAACACAATTTCAATGTGAGGCAATATGAACTGGATTTGGGACCGAATTCTTCGAGTATGGTTGAGGTTAATATGATTTCTCCGCGACAAAAGTAATGGGTATTAAGCGAAAAAATTGATCAGGTTTGGTTTGATTTACTTTTGAGTGAAACCAGCTTATACATATAATGATTAGCAAGACAATCAATTAGCACGATTTCAATGTGAGGCAATATGAATTGGATTTGGGATCGAATTCTTCGAGTATGGTGGAGGTTACTATGAATCTCCGCGATGAAAGTAATGGGTTTAAGCGAAAAAATTGATCAGCAACAGAACCTCAAAATGTCCAAGCACTGCCATATATCATCTAGAGATAGGGAACTAATTCAAATAGCTTAAAGTTTGAAGGTAGCCTATATAACTTGTCCTTTGATGTTGCAGAAACATTTCAAACATGTGAATCTCCTGTCTCTCCGCATCAAATTTATCAGTCATTAATGTATCTTTTAACACTCAATATAAAGCAAAGGAAAGAAAGAAGACGAAAGGCATATTAGTTAAGTTGGATACTTAAGCTCAGCATTGAAGCTTCACTGATTTGTCACAGAAAAATCTCACTGATTTGCAAGAAAGCTCCAACTGCAGTTTCATTTTCCCTTTTGCAATATTATAATTTGATATATTTATGTACCACAATGAATACTCTTACTAAATCAAATAAATGGAACTAAATTGAGCATATCAATTGCTTATATAAAGTGGGTATCTATGAGATTATTCATCCAAGTAGTCTTTATGTGTTATAGCTCACCATGAGCCTAAAAACATATTTGAAACTTAAAGTTTACAAGAGGTTTTCACATATGAAGCATAAGAAGATAACTTAGTAACTCCTCTGAGAATTCATAAGAAAATGAATGTATTTGGAAAAAGAATTTAAATTTGTATTTGGAACATTGTATCTGTACCTTGACTTTCTGCCTCCATGCTGTCACCATTACACATCTGTAAATACATCTCTCCTCTGTTTAAAATAAAAAAACTCCCATAGATGTTAATCAGGTTCAATAACATGATCAGAGGTAATTTTCTTTCTCGATCCACCTTCTTGAAGGCTTCTTACCCTCTCCTTAGTCTCCTCTTTCCACCCCTTCTGGAAAAGTTTTCTGACGCACTTTGCCTCAAATCACCCAAAGGATAGCTGATGAGAAAAATAATCTTCTTTCTATATTTGAAAGTCCTAATACCATCCTTCCCTTATAATTCATCTGCTGTTAAACCCCCAATCAGTTGACATATTAAGGAGAAATAAAACTGAACCCCATAACCTTGTCAAATTATAAAAAGTGGGGATTCCACCATTTAAAGAAAACAATGCAAGAAAAGCTTTTTTCTTCAGAACCTGTTTCCAAGAGAATCTAAAGGCAACATCAACTTTGGAGAGAAGGTTATGGTAGAAAGAATTTGTAGAGAGACAAACTCTTTTCTGCAGAGGGATCAGACAATAACATTTATATGGGTCGAAATGACAGGATGTTCGGAATTGTTGAAAGAGAAACAATATCGTCAATCTTCCAATTAATAAGACTCTATAACAAAAGAACAATCATTCAGACTACAGAACAAAAGAATATCCCAAACTAACGCATTGCCATTGCCAAGCCTAAAAAGCATCAAGTCTGCAAAACAGGTTCAATCCTTACAAATCCTTTGAGCTAGGGAACTGAACCCATATACATGGATCATTAGCAAGCGATCTTTACAAACAAGCTAAAACTACTGCTAGGGCAACAGTTGCATGTAGTAATCTACAGTATCAGTACAACAAAATACTTGAATTGCTGGAGAAACATATATTTAATAAAAGAGGCCTGTTAGCCTAATTAATATATTTACAACCACATACGATCATCCATTGTAATAACATTTCTTCCCTCCTAATACACTTCCTTTACTCTCCTACTGCACTCTTTTAGGAAAACATCTTCTAAACATGGCTATTTAAACCACTACGACAATCAACCTAAACCTACCTAACTGAGGTTCTGTAGGCAAATAATTGAAGAAACAGACAATACAATTTTCATAAACTCACAACCTTGAAAAAAAAAAAAAAAAGAAGGAATTTTCCTCTCTGTTTCTTATCCCGCAACATGAATGTTATCTTTACTTTTTTCTAGTTGACCTTTCTGAACTACCTTCAATTGGCTAACTGTAAAGATCCATCTCTCATTAACTTTAAGCTCAGACTGTTGAATCTTTCCCGGGAATATTGCCTAGATGCTTTTCTCCAATCTGTGCCAGCTTTCATCATTGCAGCAAATTCTTCGTAACTTATTCGTCCGTCCTGTAAATGTAAAACCACAAGAATGGCTTTGCTAGTTAGCAATTATATGAATTTGCCACTTTGCTCCAAAAGAAAGATTATCAATTTAATGGCTGTAAACACAATAAGCCTTGAAATTGATACATGTGAGATGCACATATAGAGCGGTGGTGAACAGAAAGCAAACATGCCCTTTATTTTGTTGAAGTACCTTAGAGCAGAAAGGCAGAAAATGAAGAGGATGCAAATTTGTCACAAGGCATCCTTCAGGTCATGCATGATGAACAAATACAATATTTTATTTTTCTTTTTTGCTCAGGGGAGTAACTCCATAATTGCAAA